CGGTCCATTATTTCACCTGGCCCCCATACAACTGAACCCCCGAATAGGGCTTTTAAAACTTTTAATCAAATTACAGGTCGCAATTTTGAAGATAATTCAATGAAATTTGGCACATGATCTTTTATGGTACCGTAGATGAAGCCTGTTGAAAATAGTATACATCGGTCCATTATTTCACCTAGCCCCCATACAACTGAACCCGCCGAATAGGGCTTTTAAGTTCATAATTATATTTAATATACTTATATCTCGACAAAAAGCTGCAAAAACCAAGTTGTATACAAGACTTGATGACCCGCACGAATTCCATAATAATAGGTTCTCATATGACCCTAGCCCCTATGAAAAGCCCCCATCAAAATTTCACTTAAATATCCACAATTTTATTCAACAATAAACGGCTTAAGTATGTATATCTAAGGCAAGGTACAATTTAACTTAAATGCTTTATTATGGCAACTAAATCACATTATATTTTTGTCAAAGGTGTAGGGTATTATATGGTCGGCCTCGCCCGACTATAATTTCTTACTTGTTTTAGTTATTAAAATTGATAAATACACATTAAAAACAGAATATAAATTGTCAAAATCAGCTGACATATTCGTGCGCCGCTTATGACACTTATAAAAGTAGAAAGTAGATCTACATTAAGCATTCTACGCTTCAAGGCATCCTACGCTTTTGTGCTTGTAACTTTTAGCGGAGGTTTTAGAGGATTTTAGCGTACATTTTAGTGCTCTTTTACCGTACACAAAGTGTACACTCTTTTACCGTTCACGTAGTGTATACTCTTTTACCGCACACGTAGAGGACATTTTTAGCGATCATGTGCGTTATTATGTGGGAAATGTGTGAAGTATTTTATTTGTTTTGTACATTTATAGTGTACTCATACAAACTGATTTAGTTTTATTTGCATGTTTAGAAATATGTACATACAGCGTCTCACATAAATATTTGAATTTATTATTTTTTATGAATTACTGTGTTATTTTATGATACAACTTTAAAAATAATAATAGTATTTAAAATTTTTTAATGAAATTTTATCAATTCTTGGTTTCCAATGGTTTCCAAGAAAATGGAAAAAACCCAAAAAGGGCCATTTCAGGTACTGCACAAAAATATTCGAATTTTTTCTAAGAACTCTTTTTAGAATCCTTAAACACGTGTTTTATTGCCCATTAATTAACCCATTATGCAGGTAGTGGTTATATGGAATATCTAACATTATATTTTTTTTTGGAAAATTGCATAATTATGTTCTAAATCCTTCCTGTGTAAGCGCTTAAAATGTTCAAAGAAAAAGAGTTGATCAATTCAAATTAAACAAGTCAGAGTGCTATATTCGGCTATGCCGAATCTTAAATACCCTCCACCTGTAAGTTACTTTTTATGAAAACCCTTATAAATATTACTAAACACGTATATAATAAATTGTGGAAGTGTAAATTGTGCTTCCGTGATAAGGGTGCTAACATTTAGAAATTATATTTACTTTTTATGGAGATATGGCCAATCCGAACAAAATTTAACAGAATGATTTTCGATAAAAAACTCACTGTGTCGGATTTTATCCGTTTATATTTATAATTGAATGAAATATATTGGAAAAAGTGACTTATGGAAATGGACCTTATATGAGAACTAAGACCATTTATGCATTGATCCTAATTTTAAAAAAAGACTTCTTATATACACAAAATATTCTTATTCCGATATCTTTATTTATCAATGAAATGTGCGATTTTCTGAAGTGGCAGATATGAACAATTATGGACCGATCCGTAAAAAACTTATTTTTATAGCCTAATTATACACCACTTTAAAGTATACCAATCGGCTTAGAATCATTTTCTGAGTCGATTTGGCTATGTCCGTCCGTCCGTGTAAACCTTGTAACCAAACTATAGGTCGCAATTTTGAAGATAATTCAATGAAATTTGGTACATGATCTTTCTATTGTTTCCATTATTTAACCTAGCCCCCATACAACTGAACCCCTGAATAAGGCTTGCAAAACTTATAATCAAACTTCAGGTCTCAATTTTGAAGATAATTCAATGAAATTCTTCTATGGTACCTGAGACGAAGCTTATTGAAAATGGTTAAGATCGGTCCATTATTTCACCTAGCCCCCATACAACTGAACCCCTGAATATGGCTTGTAAAGCTTGTAATCAAACTTCAGGTCTTAATTTTGAAGATAATTCAATGAAATTTGGCACATCATCTTCTATGGTAACGGAGACGAAGCCTATTGAAAATTATTAACATTGGTTCATTATTTCACCTAGCCCCCTTAAAACTGAACCCGACGAGTAGGGCTTTTAAGTTCATAATTATGTTTAATATACTCGTATCTCGACAAAAAGCTGCAAAGCCAAGTTCTATACTAGGCTCGATGACTCTCATGAATTTTATAATTCACGAGAGTCATTCATAGGGTCTCATTTGACTATAGCCCCTATACAAAACCTCCTTCAAAATTTGATTTAAATGTCCACAATTTTATTCAACAATAAACCGCTTAAGTATATCTAAGGTAAGGTACAATTCGGAAAACATTCCGCAGGGTGTTTCATATCTACTATAAACACATTCATGACTAATATTATACCGATATCTTCATTCAGTTATGAAATATGTGTGTTTACGTGGTTATCGGAAATGGGCCTTATATGGGATCTATGCCCAATTATGGACCTATCAAAAATACATTTTGCAGAGTGATATATTTATATTGAATATTATTTCTGTTGAATATTATTTCAATATATTTATTTCTAAATTAGTTATGTGCATTTAAGTAATTTTCTGAAGTCGACCTTACATAGCAGCTGTGACCAATTATGGGCCGAGCCGGAAAAAATTTCGCTGGGTGTTTTATATCTACTTTAAACACATTCATGATGAATTATATGTCCGATTACGTGGTTATCGGAAATGGGCCTTATATGGGAGCTATGCCCAATTATGGACCAATCCGAAAAATATTTTGCAAAGTGATATATGTATACACAAAACATATTTATGTTGAATATTATTCCAATATCTTTATTTCTTAATTAGTTATTTGTATGTAAGTATTTTTCAAAAGTGGACCATATATGGGAGCTGTGACCAATAATCGACCTATACAGATCTACGTTGGTAATATGATTTCTGTTCTTATTATATACATAGTATGTGCGTATTTAGTGGTTATACCGATATTTTTGCCGAAGTTATTAACGATAAATCTATTTCCGAGAATATGTACCTTTGTATTGGGGCTATGAGAAATTTTGAATCGATTGTCTTGAAGAATGGGACATAGTAACGCCAGAACTATTCCATAAATTGGTTGAAACGGTCCCACGTCGCTTGGAAGTTGTTTTTAAAAACAAAGGCTACTATACAAAATATTAATTTCATTTTAATCATTTATTTTTACTTCATAATGCTAATCTAAATATGATGTATACAAAAAGTTCGAATACTTTTGTGAAGTAATTTTTTGCACAAAAAAAAAAAAATAAATTAGTTTAAGTAAACTATTTTTTTACATTTTTTAAAATGTAGTATAAAATTTAAGACTGTCTGGACTACATAATAAATTTATTTATTTATTTTTTCCACAAAATCTATTATAAAATGATGTCTGTTTTCATAAACCATTAAATTCGAATACTTAAGAGAGACACTGTATGTACATGTTCCTTTATTTGTTTTGATTAATATTTATACATATATTTATTTTTATAATATTTGATTTTATTAAAAAAGATATTAACTTTTTATTCAATATAAGTTATAAAATATTATATTTAAATTTATTTTAAACAATTTTTAAATATTTAATTTTTATGAAATATGCCGTTTCTTGAATTTATTTATTGATATAAATTGTATTACGGAAACATCTTCCTTCTGGGAAGGGAATAAAGCTAGGAATACTGCTAATAAAACTATCACATGTCTAAATCTGGATTATCTACTTAATATTTAGAACAAAATAATCAGAACAGTAACTTACATATTACATTCAAAAAATGTAACACATGTTCTTTTATAAAAATTATAAATTCATGGAAATAATTAATATTTTTATTATTTCTTATTAAACATTATTACACACTGCAAATTTTCAATTGGAAAATTTTAATTAACCAGTTTTTTGGATTTTTTAAGAAAACTAATTCATAAAGAATACAGGTAGGAAATGTCCAACTTGAATGGAAATAATGATGTTTATAATCATATTTAAAATATTTTTATCTTCCGAGAAAAATATGTGTAAATGTTAAATAACTATTTCGCGCATCTTTGGATTTTTTTTGGAAATTGTGCAATATTTAGTTATCGAAGCTTAAGAGTACCTTATGGCACTGATAAAGGTACTTTACATATTTATGTAAAATATGAAAAAAATTCAATATGCATATTGCGAAAATGCACGTCATTTTCTTAGTTGAATGGCCTCATACTATCTTCAAAAGCAAATATTTTACAATTTTATTTTCTAATTTATTATTTTTATTCAAAATAAACTCATTTTAATATTATAATATTTAATAGTTAGTTACCAAACATTTATGTTTCTATGTAAATATACTAATTTATAGTATAGGAAAATCATATTTTACAGAATTTGTAAATTTTAGCGAATTTTAAAATTATTATTTTGTATATAAAACGATCCCATCCTCGACAATTTTTTTTAGAAATAGGACTTATACCACTTTCAAAATTAACGGTTTGTTTGCCATTTACTATAGAATAATAATAAAGTTTTTTGCCTGTAATGTAACCTTATACTATATAGAATATTTCTTTCTACAATAGTTTTAAAATAACAGTAATACAATTTTTTTTATTTAAAATTATTAAAATACTTTCTTAAGATACAATATACATAAATTCATTTCACATTATAAAAATATTATAAACTATGTATGACGGTAAATTAATTTACTTTTTCATAATTAAATACACCATTTACTTTTACCATCAAAATGTTTTTTACATTAAATGATGTGTCAATCGATTACGCTGATCTGATAATATGAATTTTAAAGCAGAAAAAAGTCGTTCTACACTGCGTAGATGGAACTCCCAATATTATTTCGGCTAAAGTTGTTAATGGACTTTTTTAGTACACCAATAATCTAGAATATTGCCATTCAGGGGTAACCTTTGTTCTCGTTCATACGCCATAAAACTGACTTCTAATTCCGTTAATAAAGGCAAGTTGGTTTCAGAGGTATATATCTCGATCCAGTTCTTTATAAACTCTGTCAAAGATTTCGCTTTGGTACTTGTTGATTGCGATTCTTCATCTATCACACACTGGTTAACAACTTCAGACGCAATTTCTATAAAAAATATAGAAAAAATAAACAGTAATTAATATATTTTCATCAAATTAATTAAGTTTGATTGTGCATTTATCCATACATAATAATTATTTACCTTTAATTGAATTTATTCTTTTATATAAACTGGTTATATATGTATCTCTTTGTATTTTCTTTGCGCTCTGAATCCAAGCAAATTTTAATTCGGGGATCCAAATATATAGCTGCATTAAATAGGTCGACGTCAAACAGTTTACTTCTTCTTTTATTTATAGAATTTAAAAGTGATTCCGGCATTTGACCCGATTTTTAAATTTTCAAGATCGAATAATATATCCACTATAATAATGTATGATTCGCTGAAATATAACTGCACAGTTTGTAGTTTAATTGTAGCATTATAAATGGGTTGAAACACTTGTGTAAATTCTTTCGCAAAATTCCATTCATCAGGACTCATATGTATACTCAAATTTTCAATGCTTAGTGGATCTATGACATCTTTAATTTCCAACAGAATTTTAATCATACCAAATGTTGAATTCCATCTCGTTATGCAGTCTATTATTGGTTTTGTGCTGTTCATATTTTTTAAAATATTGGCATACGTTGGACTTCTCAATCTTTTTATTACAGATCTGCAGGTTTCCAGTTTTTAAGACATCTTGCACACAAAGTTGGAGTGTATGTGCTACGCAGCGAATACAAGTTATATTGAAGGATGAAAAATGCGTTTGAATTAATTCCATTGTATCACAGTGTTCTTCATTAACATGATCAAAATCATCTTCCTCCTGGGAATATTGTAGTTCTGCATTTAAATCTTTCACTGTTTTAATCATATTCGCTCCATTATCGGTTATTATTGTTAAAATCAATGTCATACTCCTTTAGGACATCGAGTATCACACATTTTAAATATTCACTAGTGTGACTTGCCTTCAGTTCTTTTACAGCCAAGTTTCCTGTTTGGTTGCTGCATCGATTTTTAATGATAACAATTTTCCTTTTAAATCAATGGTGGCCAAACATGCCCCTGCGGGCATTGTGTTATTCTCACTTATACACACGCAATACAAATATTCTCTGCAACAAAACAAACTATGTACAAAACAAAAACAATTTAATTTAGTTGCACTGTTTATGAAATGAAACACAGAAATATTTTCAAAAGCCACTACAAATGAATGTATGAATACTTTTTATAGAAAGATGTATTAGACATATAATTATTTATAATTATACATACATACATACATACATACATACATACATACATACATACATACATACATACATACATACATACATACATACATACATACATACATACATACATACATACATACATACATACATACATACATACATACATACATACATACATACATACATACATACAGCTGTGGTCAGCTAATTGGAAACGCTCTCGTTATATTACTGCTTGACGTGATTTGTATAAAATTATGAAAATATTACGTTAGATTTTTTGTTCGAAACACATGTATTTTATAAATTGATGTTGTTATAATAAAATGGAATGCATTTTGTTGTGGAACATTTCTTATTTACTTTTCAATTTTAAATTTGGTGAAAATCGCCCAAAGCTAAATCAAAGAAATTGCGACAACTAATTGGAAACGGCCATATTTTATTAAATTTTTTTTTAAGTTAAATCTAATTTTGATAAAAAATGTAATTGCATTTGGGTATATATTGTTTCTAATTTATAAGAAATTTTACATCATTATTTTTAGGCTAAGAATGAAAATAGGCCAAAGAAATTCTCTTTCCTTGGGTAGATCTATTTTTGAACATCATAAAGCTTGTAAATCTTAAAAGGATATAGGAGAAGAGCCCTATTGTTCAAAAAAATATATTTTTAATCGTTTATAGCATTTTAAGAAATATGACACTGATACTAACGCTCCACGTGAAAAATTTTCCGAAAAAATATCAGCCCATCCCAAACCGGATAATAAGACAAATCTCTAAAGCTGGCCCAAAGGAATCATCCACGGGCATCCAGCGGTAAATTTGAGAAAAATTAGATATAACGTTATCTAAGCCAACTATTTCGCGATTTTTGACGGAATCGGGGCATCTTGAGAAAGGGCGGAAGAAACCTTTTCCAACTAAAATTCAAAGAATTTGCAATATCTCTTGTATATGAAATATCGTGTTGAATTGACCTGATCTTATCAAAATTAGACGGTTAATCAGTGGAATTATTTACTTCGGAGCTTTGAAACAGAGATCAATCGTATTATACCTCAATATATAAGGTACAATAAATGGTAAAAGGTGTGGCAGATTTTCGAATGAGATATGGCAAATTCTTTAAACTTTAGCTGCTAAAGGTTTCCTTCGCGATTCTCTTCCAATATGCCCCGATTCCACCAAACATCGTGAAATAGTTGGCTAAGATAACGTTATATCTAATTTTTCTCAAATTTACCGCTGGATGCCCGTGGATGATTCCTTTGGGCCAGCTTTAGAGATTCGTATTATCATCCGGTTTGGGGGTGGGCTGATGTTTTTCTGGAAAATTTTTGACGTAGAGCGTTAGTATCAGTGTCATATTTCTTAAAATGCTATAAACGATCAAAAATATATGTTTTTGAACAAAAGGGCCGTTCTCCTATATCTTTTTACGATTTACAAGCTTTATGAAGTTCAAAAATGGATCTACCCAGGGAAGGAATATTTCTTTGTTCTATTTTCATTATTAGTCCTAAAAATAATGATGTAAAATTTCTTATAAATTAAATTAATAATAATATTTACCAAAGTACAATTAAATTTTTTATCAAAATTAGATTTAACTTAAAAAAATTTTAATAAAAAATGGTCGTTTCCAATTAGTTGTCGCAATTTCTTTGATGTATCTTTGGGCGATTTTCACCAAATTCAAAATTGAAAAGGAATTAAGAAATGTTCCACAACAAAATGCATTTCATTTCATTATAACAACATCAATTTATAAAATACATGAGTTTCGAACTGAAAATCTAACATAATATTTTCATAATATTATACAAATCATGTCAAGCTGTAATATAAAGAGAGCGTTTCCAATTAGCTGACCATACATACATACATACATACATACATACATACATACATACATACATACATACATACATACATACATACATACATACATACATACCATACATACATACATACATACATACATACATACATACATACATACATACATACATACATACATACATACATACATACATACATACATACATACATACATACATACATACATACATACATACATACATACATACATACATACATACATACATACATACATACATACATACATACATACATACATACATACATACATACATACATACATACATACATACATACATACATACATACATACATACATACATACATACCTTCCGTTATTAATTTATAACGTTATTCATTTATAATTTTAAATCCTTACTAATTTCAGTTTTTAGGTTTTGTGAGAAAGCTATTATCCTTTCACCAGCATTATGCTCATTGAGGGTTATGTTCAAAGCTTCCAAAACAGGTTGCACCAATATTTTATAAGCTCGATCCTCTACCATGTGGGCGTTCATTTTTTGTAAACAGTTCGAGAATTGGTAACTCAACGTTTGCTCGATTTAAATCATTCACAACAATTTTCGTTTTTAAATTTGATGGTTTATTTATGTTATCACACTTTTTTCACATAATCTGAATACAAATCGGGATGCACTAGTTTCAAATGTCTTTCTAGATTTAATGAATGTTCACGTAGAATTTTGTTATCACAACTCCCATTATTACATACTATTTCACCAACACTATTTCAAACAATATATGCAAAAAAATATTTTTGGACGCGGCATTTTATTTCTTATTCGATCGGATGTCAATTAAGTACTATTTGTCTTTTGCTAACATTAAAGACATTCGGTTGTATTCATAATTTAGGTTTATTAAACATTATTAAGCAAAATCCACGAAAATGGTATTCATAAACGTCAAATAGCTTAAAATACCTTCAATAAACCAATGACAAATATACAAAATTTATTGTACGCTCGATCCTACTTTAAGCCAACAATAAGTTGAATTCTTACAAATTTTGTCTCTGATTAAGCTTTTTTCATTAATTTTAGGTTGAAGACGAAAACTAATCATGTTTTATTCTGAAATGAAATCTAAAAATTGTAATTTTAACGTTTACAAATTTGTAAATAAAATTCCAGACAAATTTTAAAAGTTTCTATTTTGGTGAAAAAACTAAAATCTAGGCATTATTGGATTAATAGATGAATATTTGACAGTATTCCAGTTGGTTAATACTATTTTTGGCAATTTGGAAATGCCCGCCTGTCAATCAAATCATGGCCACAATCATTTTATTTGTCTTTTTCATAGTTTATTCGCTAAATATAAAGCCATGAAGTAATTAAGAGTGTAAATTATATTGATTAGTGTTCTATCAATGCAAAATATCTTCTCCGGCGATAAAATGTAGTCTTTTATCAAAGAAATTTATCAGTATTTGCAAAAATTTATTAAAAATTGCTATAAAAATAAGTAAAAATAACAAAATGTGCATAGTGATGTTTATTTTGTCACAAAATATTCGTTATTCGAATACTTTTAATTATAATTAAAAATATATATGTTATATTCATTCATCTGAACTAAATATATGTTTATTGTAGCCATGTATACATTTATTTTTCTTAAAAGTTCGTTCTTATTTTCAAAAATGTGTTATAACCAAAAATATAAAATTAAGAAAACCGACTTAACGCATATTTTATCCTAATTGTTCGCAACACTAACACAGAAAATGACAGCCAAATTGTACAGTGCTGCCAAGTTAAACAATAAACAGCACAATAGTTAATGTAGGTTTATTATTTGTTTATGAATACCACAATTTTATTAATGGCTTTTAAGTCTAAAGTGTACTTTAACTATTGTGTGATTTAAATGTAAAATAAGCATTTTTTATGAATACAACTGATTGTCTAAAATTTCGGACGTATAAACATATATTTTACCCACCTGTTTCCCGTTGAAAAAAACTGCAATGAATTTTTATGGTCCTAATAAAAACTTCGCTTACGATTCAATGGCATATACATTTTTTAAAAATAGTTCTTGATACCTGTGACTTTGTAATAATAAAAATCACATTTCCCTCATATTATTTTATATTCTTATTATAATCTTTTCTACATCGATGCAAAAAATGCATTTTATAAAATATTACAAAAAAATACATCCAAACAGATTTAGAAAAGGTCCAAAATGCTTAAAAAATCAATTAAATTTTCTAACTTATATTTCATTGTCATATTTCAATAAAAAGTGCACTAAAAATGCCTTAAACTTAGCGCACATGGAAAGTGTACTGTACCTTATTTTTAATGTTTATGCACATCATGAACAAATATAATGTACCGTGTACATGTCCACAGACATATGTGTATAAAGTACTTGTTCAAAGATGTACGGTACAGTACACTAAAGGTTGTTTATGTGTTAGTAATTTATTCTAGCAATCATTGTGGAAGAAGAAGCATAAATTTCATTTTTATTTAGATTTTGCGACGGCAACATCATTTTTTTACCGCATAGTGATAAGAAAATGTATGAATAAATTTTATGCGTTATGTGTCTATACTGTTACACATACAATTTTTACCATTTGCTGTGTTTTGTTGCTATTATTGAATGTTAACGCTCAAAGTTAGCAACAAAACGAACATTACCTGACTTGGCATCCCCTCACAGAAAAAATCAGCAAAATCTTGAAATTATTTACAATATCTTGAAAATATTTGTTCGTTTGTTAATTTTTTGTAATTTAATTATTTGATATCCACACATTCATATTTGTGTTTTTATTTTTGAATTGGCAGCACTTTTATCGAAGTTAAAATGAACTTGTATAATTTTACACGTTAACTCCTAACGTGTATAAATTTTAAATTTATTAGCAACAAAACACAACTATGTAATTTTTAATTATTATTTTTTTTATTTATTTATTTTTTTAAATTATTTTTTTTATTAA